ATAATGCTAGAAGACTAGACTAATAGTCTTACTCTTTTTGTGTACATTAGTCTCTTTAATCACCAGCAGTTGTTAGGGTGTTAATATTATATCTTGGCTAAATAGAGAGCAACTGAAATAAGACCAGGTTTGGGATTCTTGTATAGCTCCAAACTCATCCCAGGTCCACACATGCTGTTCACAAACTCATACTTAAAGCTACTTAACAGCTTAAATTGATACAAGTCCCTAAAGCAATTTATGAGCTTAAACCACTTAAAATGCTTGAAGGAGCTTAAGAGCTTGAAGACTTTGTAGAGGTAGTTGGATGCCTTGTGGGTAGGGACCTGTTTGAAGAAAATCCAAGTAGACTGCAGTGTGGGTACCTGTGTGTCCGGGGTGGAGTAGGCTATTTGTAGAAACCAAATGGCAAGTAGTGGAAGTGATAGGTGTTTAAACACTGCTGTGATGAAGAAGATATAAGAACCTAGACAGAACTACTTGCTCACATCATAAGCTGTTGGAAACTGGCATAGCTCTGAAGACATCTGGCCCATAGAGTGGGGCTGCTGATATGAAGGTGCTCTTCATAAGAAAGAGTTGCAGATCTGAAGTGAAGAATAGTGAATATCGTTAAAAAAATAAACTGGATATTAAAATTCAAAGAGCGGAACTGCTCTCATGTCCTGTGAAGACATTTCCTCCTTGTCTGACCACTAGAAACACCCTGAATAAATACTAATAGAGAGGAGGAAATTACCATTTCAAATATACTGGATGAAAGCAGTGTGACAGTTATTTATTCATTTTGTTGTGGCTGGCCCTGCAATAATTTAGAGTGGTTCCTTATTAAGGTCAACAATGTAATTCATTCTGATGCTCTCCATTCAGCAAAGATTTATTTATTTTTATACTAAAATGAGAAAAATAAAAAGTGTGCAAAAGATTATACCCCCCCCCATTTTCATTAAAATAAAATTATGACAAAGTAATAACCCTTAGACCTCTTGAAACAAAATAATATCTTGCTGCAATTAGATATAATTAATGAACAATAATTAGAAAGATCTCTTCACTGAATTTATTATTTTATGTTTTCTTTCATCTATAAGCCATGAAAATGAGCACAGTGCAAGGCCTATCTTTTTGCCTTTTTTGTTAAGAGTTTGGAGGCTTGTGGGAGTGATTGTTTGCAGGGGATGGAGATTTGATGGGGAAAGGCCCACTTATTGGTTTAGGTTGAGGGGATACTTTTGCTGGAGGTTTGCTGTTTGTTTTAGTGTCATTGTTTTAAATAATGTCGAAGGCACCCAGAGTGCCTTGTTGTGTGTTGTTATAAAAGAGATAAACTGTGCTATGACACAGAGGCCCATTTGGAGGGTAAGGGGCTCATTGGTATCAGGGCATGAGTTTCAGCTGGCCTGACCAATTCTGTGTACCACTACTCACAATGATTATAATATCTAACTAAAACATGTCATGTAATATGTCATTGGAAAACTGATTCTTGTGTGATGAATGCATGTAGAATGTTTTATATATGTTAGAACAATGACTAAAATGTATTTTAGCGTGGAATGTCAGGGGGAATTGGGAAACAGATCTTCCCTAGACAAAGGAAAATGTATTTGCTTCTCTAACCAGCCTGGACATCAGACAGAGACAATGAAGGTCCATTTAATATTACGTAAACAAAGCTATCAGGCTACAAGTGAAGGAGGAGACAGCACAGTGTCTAAACTTGGCAGAAGACAGAAGTTTGGGCTGGATTTTACTTTTCAAAGAATACATTGCAAAAGTTTACTAGTCTATAAAGACAGAGGAGCTGAACCTCAAGTGATAAGCAATTGACTCTACTGATTGTATACAATATTACTGTATTGTAACAGTGTACTGAGTGAGGTCTTTTATGAAAACCTATAACACTGGTAATTAATAGCATTGTGGAATATATGTATTAACACTATATGCTTTCCAGTCTGTGACCAAACAAAGGGTTAAACAGGCTTTCCTCCATCAGGAGGGAGGGCAGCTATCTACCTGTCTCCAAAGAAGTTAAGCAAGATGTGACCAAAATATGGGAAGCAGCATTTTCATAGACAGTAGCAGAGGGATGGGAAGCCCACAGGAAGGGAAAGAGCATGAGGTCATTCTGCCTCTTGAAACAAGGTCATTGAACTTTGGAAGACATAAGAAAAGACAGAAGCCGTCTTTGGCATCCATCTCTAGACAGACACAACGGATTAGAGCTCTTGCAAGCTGAGAAAGATGGGTCCTTCAAACAAGGAGGGGTTGAAGTCTATAGATGTAGATGAGAAAAATGCTTAGGCAAAGATCTTTCATCTAGGAAGACAAGGGAAGCCACCATCTTGTTCTTCTGTGGAAGGTCCTGACTGAGGGAAAGTCAGTCATGGCTGGCAAGAATGATTGGTGAGAGAAACCATCTTGACCAAACCTGTACCTTGCTAAGTTGAGGTTTAGACTTTTAGATGCATTTTTTTTTCACTTTTATTTGCTTTTAACCTCTTTACTTCTGTTTATTTTACTTGGTATTGCTCAGCCTATGTCCTGTTGTTAATACATTTGCTTTGTTTTTACTATAAACCAACTCAGTGCTATGTTTGCAGGGAAGGGTATACTTACCACAGTTAAGTTAATAAGCTGTAATGTGCTTTTGTCTCTTTAAAGGAGCAATGAACCCTATTATTTCTCTGTCCTGGTGACACTGGAAAATTCCAGGCACATGGTTTTGGGGAAATTTGGGACTGGGAGTGTGTTGCAGTCACCTTGCTGGTTGTAGCCAAGGCTGGTGGAAGCCAGAGTGGGGCTGTAGACAAGCTGCTGGGTCAGAGCTGCTGAACCAGGACATTCTAGCACACAGATACTCTGGGTGAGACCTTTGTGCTTGTAGGCTGGCTGGGAGCATCCCAGGCTGGGAGCTCCAGCAGCAAAGTGATTGCAGGGCAAGTGGTGACACAATCTCCTACTGGTCTGGATTGCACCCCTGAGCCTCATGAAATTGGTGTAATCTAAAAAGGATTTACACAAAACTTGTTAATTTAACTAAGGTTTACAGTTTAAGCATTGGTGAAATAGGTTTAAGTGATTTACAAGTGAAAGGGCACAGTCAAAGAAATGTTACAGTTTGATTGTGTTCTGTTTATTTTGGAAATAGAAGAAAGGAAAGACAAGCAACAAAGGAGCAGGTGCTGAGCTCACCAAGAAGTTAGAAAAGCTGGGTGTGTAGTGAGGTCTGTCAGCAGCTAATCAGAAGAAATTGGAGCTAGTGGACAAACCAGGTGGCAAGAAGCAGGGTCCAATTTTCTCCTACAGAGCATGCAGGAGACCAAGCAGATGTTTCCCAAGATGATCCAGAAGCAGCAGCAGCAGCAATGGCCTCCAGAGTTGTGGAGACTACAGTGGAAAAAGCTGCTAGTGGAGGAGAGATGGGCAGAGCTGGAGGCCAGGTGTTAGTGGGGAGGCAGAGTTGAAGTAGTGGAAGCTTGCTGACCAGGAGAAACACAGGCAGCTCAGACAGAAGAGGAGGGACAAGTCTCACCCGTGGATCCCAGAAGGAATGACATAAGGGTTTGCCCGATCAGGGGCTGGCAGACAACCAGATGTGGGTATGATGGACCCCATCACGCTGCCTGTAGCCAGAAGTACTATGGACACTAAGTTTGTTCCGGGATTCTGACAGAAGGAAAGTCAGCCGTGGCTGAAAAGAATGTGGATTGGTGAGAGAAACCATCTTGAACGAAACCTGTACCTTGGTAGATTAAGATTTAGACTTTTTAAAATGTGTTTTCATTTTTATTTGGTTGTAACTATCTCTGCTTCTGTTTCTTTTACTTGGCATCACTCAACCTCTGTCCTATAGTTAATAAATTTGTTTTATTTTACTATAAAACAACGCAGAACTGTGTTTGAGGGAAAGAGTGTATCTATCCCAGTTAATATGCTGTGATTTGCTTTGGTCTCTTTTAAAGTTAAAAAAACACACCTTATTATTTCTCTGGGCTATCCAGGAGAGGGCTGGACATTGCAGAGCACATGGTTTTGGGAACACTGTGCACTAGGATCATGTTGGGGTCGCCTTGCTGGTTGTAGCCAAGACTGGTGGAAGCCAGAGTGGGGCTGTAAACAGGCTGCTGGTATAGGGCTATCTAGCACACACATGCTCAGGGTGTGACCTGTATGCCTGTAGGCTGGCTCTGAGCATCCCAGGATAAGGCCTCCAGCAGCAAAGCACTATAAGTAGGGCTCCATGTTGTCATGGAAGTCGTGGAAGTCACAGATTCAGTGACTTTCTGCAACCTCTGCCACTTCTGCAGGAGCCAGCCACACCGGCTGCTGCCGGAGCGGCTCTGTATCCAACCACTGGGGCAGCCCTGCAGCCAGCCGCACCAGCCGCTGCTGGAGTGGCCCTGGAGCCAGCCACACTGTCAGAGTGAGATAAAGCAACTTTAGTGTAAATAAGAATTAGGCCCATATGGAAATTGTTTATTTTATTGGAGGGTGTGGGAAAGAGATTTGGAATGTAATGCCCTATGTACACTGAAAGTTAGTGTATTGATTTTTGGCCCAATTTTACACTGGGGTGAATCCAGAGTAACCCTACTAATTTCAGTGGAAGTGCTCCCTATTTACATAGATGTAAATTAGAGCTGATTTTGACCTGTATCTTTAAACATTGTTTTCCACATGCTTTAATAAATCTTGATTGCTGTGTGCTCTTGCACAAGCATAGCAACATGATTTCAGTATGTTGATGGGCATCTCTTCCACATAAACCTCTTCACTAAAAGAACTCAGGTAAAATTAAACCTCGTTTGATTTCAGTGCAGCTGAATTACACTTTGGGTTCCTTTTATGATAAAAGAGAGACATGCAAATGAGACTGATTGATGGTAGGTGTTTTGTTTCTCTTTAAAGACAGCCATAGAAAGAGATCATTTAACTAATAAAATCTCTTTATTGTACTAGATAACACTAATAGTTCAACATCTCTTGAATTTCAGAACATTTCAAGATCTGTCCAAACAAATGGATATGTCTTACGGTACCGTCAGGGATTCAGCAGTGTATGAATACTTCAAAGCAAAAGGGACAAACCCTTTGGAACAGGATAACACATTTGCTGAACTGTGGAGGACAATCAGTAAAAATAATGGGGCAGATAACTGTGTATCGAACCCTTCAGAAGGCATCAGGAAGGTAAGAATGGATTAATAGTGCTGTTTTACTTTAAATTTTGTGTTGTGTTTGTGTAGCTTGCATGGAGTTAATGAATGAAAACGATTGTCATGTGGTAAAGGCAGGATTTAAAATAAAAAATATTCCAGTCCTAGGTTTCTTTTAAGTAAAGCTTGCAAATTGGTTTGAGGACAAAGCTGTTGATTGCATTATGCTTCTACTAAGGAATTATGCTTTTCCCAACAAAATTATGTCAGCCTTTGGCCAACTCTCACATGGAACTCAGATCTCCATTTCTGAAAGGCAGCTGTTGTTCTAGTCCACTACAATGTCTAATTCTTCTGCACCTTTCCCATTCCTCTTTTTAAGACTGACGGTAAACTTTTCTTATGTAGGTAAGTCCCATTTTTATGGCTTAAGTCTCATTGACATTTAATGAGATTGTGGTACCTAGGTACCTAAATCACTTTTGAAAAAGTTACCTTGGGTCATCTTATATTTTCCCTGAGTGCTGAAACTTGTCCTTTACCCATGATTATTGTTGTCAGTGGATTAAATTTAGTCCTATTCACTTCAGCAAAATCATGTCCACTTACGTTAGGGCAGAAGTATGAACCAGGTTTTTGGTCATTTTTGTTTATACAATGGTACTCCAGTTGTTCAAAAATTCATCTACCCACTCACATATTACCCATTCATGCAGTTATCTGCTCACTAATATATTCACTCACCTGTTCTCTCTCTCTCTCTCTCTCTCTCTCTCTCCTACGCACGTGCACACACACACACACACACACTTATTTTTAAGCAAAATTAACTGTTCCTGCAGGATTCAAGCAGCCATGATCTTTGTTCAGGGTCCTAAAGCCTGTGACAGTTTCTTTTAATTGTGACTTTCTAATTGAAATATGTTCTCTCATTAGTACAAAGAAATGATGGAATTTGACCCAGAGCAATGACACAGGAATCAGACACTCAACTTTCAGCCAACCAGTTGCTTAGAAGTGTACATGCGTGCATGCATACACACATTTCTTGTGCTGTAGCTCTGCATGGCCAGAAAGTGAATGACAAATGTGAATCAGAAGTAAATTACAGCAGACAGTGCACAGGAAGTCAATGAAAGTTAAAACTTTCTTTAGAGGAATATCATATTCTCATTTTTATCAGTCTTAATTTTTTTAAATAAAATATTATAAATGTAAAATCATTGATCAGTTTATTTTGGTGTAAACTGAAAACTCGTATCTCTGGGTCCACAACCGTGTTACAAGTTTTTTATGCTTTTGAAAAGGTGAGACTAAAATGTAGACTTGTCTATATGATTTTACTTTTTCAAATGTTTTATATTTATTTTTCTAGAAGCTCAAAGAGAAAAATTAAAATCTTCAGATTTTTAAAATGTCACAGGCTGAGTTAGTGGGAAAGAATGGACTCCAGGCCAGGGATATTCCATTGTTAGGGGAAAATAAGTGTGGATGCTCAATCAGAAATACTCTATTCCTAATCAAATTTATTAACAAGTATTTACATGCTTGAACAGATTTTGTTGGCAAAAGCAGCAGCCACGCTAAAATATCACAGGTGTAATTCCACTTTCAGAACTCCAGCATTTGCAGCTGTGCTTGAACAGCTGCATCCATCATGCAGAGGTTTCTCTTCCCACTGCTTCGCTCAAGACCTCTGTTCCCAAAGTTGTCTCTAAGCTCTACCTCCAAATACTTTTGTTATTAAAGCTATCACTCTGAAACCACTGCTGTCAAATAGCAAAGGAGACACCACTTTCACTTTTTACATATGAAGCTATTTGGGTAACCTTTTAAATACATATAAAAGTAGAATTTATATGTACATTGCAACAAATTCCCTGTAAAATAAGTAGAATTTTAAAATAAATTTGTTTGCACCAGTTTGTTTGTTTACTTTCTGCAAATATAAGTGCAATCTAGTTTTTGGCACAAATGTGGATTTCATGTTTGCATGTACAAGAATTTGTACAAACCAAATTCTAGATTCACAAACACTAACATTTTGGCTGGAAGTACGTGCACGCTGTTCAAGCACAGAACATAAACAATATCATGTGACTTCTTTGACTCCTCACAGCTAACCAACCCAGCTCAAATACTGACTATTACATGCCCATTGAGAACTGGTCAGGATCAGTCAGTCCAGAGAATTTAAAAAACGAAGAAAGCCACAGATAGTTTCAGATGACAAATCAGTTCTAGGAAATGGTGCTGAGCTCTCAGAGAGATCCTGGGAGAATAAAGTAAGGCTACATCTGTCAGATAACATGTTCTTTGAAAATGATTCTCTCAGCTCTGCCATTAACGATATTGAGCAGGATGCAGTTGCAGTTGGGAGCTATTGACCCTGCTCTGTCTGCGAAAGACTGAGTGAGTGCGCAGTGTGTGCCTAAAACAGCATGAGGCAGAAGAAGAATAAACCCTGCACCTGAAGCCTGATCCAAAGCCCATTAAAGTAAATGCAAAGCCTCTCACTGACTGCTATGACCCTGGGGTCAGGCTTGTTCATTCTCTCTCTCTCTCTCATAGGAATATTATTGTACTAGTAACGGTTTCTCTGGGTCAAGTCCTCTTGCTATAAACTTCAGCTATTTTTTTTTTTTTGGCTTCCCCACAGTTTGCCTCAACCTGTAACCACTGTAAAATATTAGGCTGACTTTGCCAAATGCCTTGCCCTTGGCCCAGTCACCGTTTCTCCTTCTTTTATATGTACTGTCCCTCATTATATGGGTGTAACAAAGTGTGCTGGTGTATGATTTTGGGATCTGTATGGAAATGAGACATCTATTTCATGAGGCTTTCTCAGCATGAAAAAATAGTAAAAATAAATACACAAAATATAGATAAGCACTCTGTCACATGCATTGATGTGTAAAAAAAAAATTAAAACTGTAGAAAAATGCAGGATGTATTTAAATGTATTTTCCTTGTATCACTCGTAGTATGTCATAAGATATTCAACAACAGTAAGGCTGTAAATATCCATATTTTATAAACCTATTACGGGCTTCCATTTATTATAGCTAGATTTACTTAAGCCTCAGGTTTTAGCTTTAGATTGGCAAACTGTTTAGAATACCAATTAGAGGAACTTTGGGATTCAGTGCAGAGTTGGGAAGTGGCTCAAATTTATATGATAATAACTGTGTCAAATTAAGTCTGATTTTAATGTTCTGGTGTGATATATATAAAACTTGATCAACTCCATCAATAACATTGACTATAATCCAGTTTCTCTTCAGTCCCATAGCTGACCTGTGCTTCCATTTGATTAAACATTTACTAAATCAGGCTTAATATTTAATAAAATTGTCAAGTAAAATATGGTGTATATAGTTTAAATGTCTCTTTTCGCAACTCATTGAGCTCCTTGAACAAACAGACAAGTTGCTCATGTCAAATATCATATCTAGAAATTGGTTTTTTTTTTAAGAGAAATCAGTGTTCGCCAATGAAACTGGACTTTTAATCAGTATACATTTCCTAGAACACAAAAGTGAAATGTAAATGTAGTCTTAAAACTCTGATTTTTTGCAGTTTAAAATCTAAATTTCTCCGTAGCACAAAACCACAAATATTTCTAGTGCATCTTTCAGAACAAGGACTTTTGTAAGCACAATGAAAAAATATGACTTCTCCCTGAAACCCAAACTTCTGTGACTCTTCTCAGTTTCCCCATATCTTTCAGTTACACTGGATTATAAAATGGACATTAGTTACCAGTGCATTTCTAAGAAAAGCAATGCCAACTGCAGTGAGAAGCAATGAGAGAGAGTCTGGGATTTTTTTATAGATAAGTGTTAGACATGTCAATTTTGCCCTATTCCACTCACCTCCATTAATCTAGCGGAGGATTTCCTATCAGCTTCTGCAATTTGAACTCTTTAAGCAGCTCAAAACAAAAAGATAAAGTTGAGGAGGGTTCTCAAAGCTTTCATGCATTTCTGTTGCCATGGAAAATGCATCTTTTCATAAAAGATATGGTCTGTACATCCAGAGTGACCATGTACCATTGTCTCAAGGCACAGCTTCTAAAAACATTGATGGCAACCACACAAAGGGTATCTAAGCACTGCAATGACACAAATGTATTTCTGATTTGCACTCAGAGAGTCAAGTGAGGTTTCGTTTAACTCCAAAGATATGTGAGGAGAGTTGATTTGGACTGTAAATTTGGTCTTACAGGTTCAAGAGTCTCTGATGGTAACAATGGTCCATATAATACAGTACTGAAAATAGGAATACTGGTGCAGATTCCCCAAAATAAAACTAATTCAGCAATACTGTTCTGTGTGGGAAATTTCCTTTTCATTCCAGCTATTGATCAGTGTACACCAAGAAGCATGAAGTTTGGTAGCTCCTGTAATTTTATCCTAGGTAATGCAACTGAAAACACTATTCTTAATCATATACATTTTTAATCCCTCTGTGAAGCTTAGTAAGCTATTTGCCTGCATGATATCCTGTGATAATGTGTTCCACAGGTAAAGTGTATGTTGCATACAAAATATTTATTTTTAGACATTTTGCATTGTTGCCTTTTTTTTTATTTTGTGCGTGTTTTCATGATAGGGGTAGGATAAATAGGATGACCTGATAAGTTCCTTCTATACTGTTCATTATTTCAGATGTAGACATGATAAACCCTCTTACTCTTTTCTTTTCCAAACTAAATAGCAATAATCTTTTAAAGTTCTCCCTGTTGGAACCCTTCCTTCTCCTGATTCTAATAATTCTCATTGCCATTCTTTGAATCTTTTCTATTTCTGCTATGTTTTATTGGCAAGAAGTGACCTAAACCGAATACAGTATCTAAGGTAAGGATGTAGCATTGATTTATATAATAGCATTATAATATTTTTCTATATTGTTCTCTCTCCCCTTTTAACAGCCTCCTAATATCTTGTTAATTTTTAAAATCACCACTGAATATTGAACCTGGCTTTTATTTTTTACTGAGCAGTCCACATATCATTGTTTTTCCTGAGATAT